CTTTCATATAACAAATACATACATGAACATATATCATCATTAACATTCCTATCATTATCATATTTTATTATAATTAATTCCTTTTATCATATAATCTTGAACTTAACATTTATACACCTCATATAATACAGTTCACAAAGCAACACACATAACATCACATACACTTTATTTATATTATCTCTTTTAATAGCCCATGTACACTTATGAGAACTTAAGGTATGTGAGTACATTGAGGTTGTGCACAAATTTTGTCACCATAGCTTGTATAATTTGCACTGAGTGCCATATAAAATGTCCCGAATGACCGCGTAAAATTGTCCCGAAGGACCATATAGAATTGTCTCGAAGGACCACATATATATCCTGAAGGACCACGTAGAACCCTCGACTCTTGGCATGCCACTTATACCCCTAGCTCTCATAACACATACTATAAGCTTTACCATTTATATCATTTATTCTCTTATTTCACATAGTCAATCAATCACATAGATCATGTCTCATAACATATATCACATATACATGTAATCACATATCTCGTAGTCATATAACTTATATCATTTCTCATGTAGTCACATAAATCAATGTTCTTTAGTTTATCTCACTTTTTCATTTAATCACATACATCATTTATATCAATTTATATAGGTTTCCACACAAACATATATTCACATAGCTTAGATCACATGTTCCTATTGCTCATGTATAACAATGCACTTAACATATAGACATATGCATATAATCATGTACACAAAGTCATCATATCACTAATACACTTGCATTCAAGAAATCATGAAATCAAACATCTGAAATAGAGTCATCTCAAGTCTTATTTGCACAAAACACTATAATGTCTAATAGCATGCACTCACCTTGGCCTCACTAGTCAAAGCAACACTTATAACTCTTATCTCGCTGACTCGTCCGAAAATTGATTTCGTTCAATGTCTTAGCTATGGAACTCACGTTGAGAGGAAGAAGAAGGATGAAGAATACTTTAGATATTCTTTCCTTATTCTCAAGTGTATATATAATACACCACAATTGAATTTTAAATTCATTTCCTTGCTAAATGACTATTATGCCCTTTAAATTTCCAAACTTCGCTACTAAATTCAACACCAAAATACTCCAATTAAGTCCCTCAATTTTAAAATTTCCGAAATTGATCATAAAGTTTCAAATTTTACGTTTTAGTTACTAAGCCGGTTTTTGGGATGTTACAAAAGGTGAGAAGAAGTAAATTGAAAATGAAACAAAATACTTAAACCTAACATATATTACATATAAATGTTATTATGATAAATATTTTGGACGGATAGATGCATGCACAAATTAAATCTGATTTTTTTTTTTTTAAATAACTTTATAAAATCAAATTTAGATCTGACTATTTAAATTATCTATCTATTCTTAAGTTAATCTGATTAAATAAAATAAGATTTCTTATTTTGATTTTGAATTAAAAAATCTAATATCATATACCAAATAACAATTCTATATACTCTTCACAGTCTTAGGTGCATGTTGAATCATTTTAGCGGTCAAATCCTAAACAACATAGTCGGGTAAGGTTAGCAAAGGAAGCAAAGTTGAATAAGGAACTGAATTTATAAAGGACGAGCTTATCCATAAAACGTATAGTGAACAAGGTCAGGCCAGTGAACCTTTGCTTGCCGCCCAACCGCCGGCCGCAGCGGCCAAAGAAGACCGCTGGAGATAAAAGTAATACACGAAACCTTGAACAGCTAGAGTTCTTTAGATAACTAGAAATCTTTGTGCAGTCACATAAACAACATTAGCAGACAAAGTTTTTGTTTTGTTCGAAAGCAGACAAGGGTGAATGTTCCTCGGGTGTCGCCAGTTTGAATGGCGAATACCAACTCCTTTGAGCTGGTAAACAAAAGGTAGCTGTTATATATGGAACAATTCCAAACCCGTGCAGCTGTCTAGCTATAAATATCGACACCCACCACCCCAGCAATCACAACAAAACCTTGAAGCTATCGAAAATTAAGCAAATCTAAAGCCTACTTACGTACTTCTCATGGCTTCCCCCACTAACTTCCTTCTTCATGCATTTCTCTTGTTGGCTCTTGCAACCACTTCCTTTTCCTTATCACCCAAATTTTACGACAAAATTTGTCCCCAAGCTTTGCCTGCCATCAAGAAAGTAGTTGATGCTGCCGTCCACCGCGAGCGGCGGATGGGAGCCTCTTTACTTCGTCTGCACTTCCACGACTGCTTCGTTAATGTAACTTGATTCGTTTCACGCCCTTTTTATGTTTATTTTATGTGATCCTGAACTCGTTGTATTGTATTGTATCGCAGGGATGTGATGGTTCACTTCTTCTGGATTCTGCACCTGCTTTCGAAACCGAGAAAAATGCACGTGGGAATTTGAATTCTGTGAGAGGGTTTGAAGTTGTGGACCAAATAAAGGCTGAAGTGGATAGAGCTTGTGGACGCCCGACTGTCTCTTGTGCTGATATATTAGCTGTGGCAGCTCGCGACTCAGTAGTTGCGGTAAAGTCCGAATCTTTTATCAATCGAATTATAGAAAAAAGAAAAATGCAGTGTTTGATTTGTAAATGTAAATGATAATGGTTGCAGCTTGGTGGTCCGACATGGAAGGTTCGGTTGGGTAGGAGAGACTCAACCACAGCTAATAGAGCCTTAGCAGACATCTTGCTTCCATCGGCTTCAATGGATCTCCCTGCATTAATCAACAACTTCAAGAACCAGGGCTTGAACCAAAGAGATCTTGTAGCTCTCTCTGGCGGCCACACTATTGGATTGTCACAATGTTCCATCTTCAGGAATAGAATATACAATGCAACCAATATCGACCCTGCCTTTGCCAAACAACGTAGAGCCACTTGCCCACGCACCGGAGGTAACACTAATCTCGCTCCTTTTGATTCAACACCCGCCAAGTTCGACACTGCGTACTTCAAGAACCTGGTGAAGCAAAGGGGTTTACTCACCTCGGATCAAGCACTTTTCAATGGTGGATCCACTGATAAACTTGTAAAGACTTACAGCTCGAATCCTGATGCTTTTTGGGATGATTTTGCAAAGTCTATGATTAAGATGGGGAACATTAAACCTTTAACCGGAAGTCAAGGACAAATTCGTGTCGATTGCAGGAAGGCAAATTGATTAAAGCAGCAACAATGAATTGTTCTTTTTATTGTATAAATTGAATTTATAAAAGTGTCTGGTTTATTAAGTTGTATTTTATGAAAATTAAGGCACATACAATAAATGTCAAATTATGTGTCTTTTGTATTGTTTGATTCGTTTAATTCATTGTAATCATCTCAAGTTTCTTAAGCAAAGAATAAAAGTTCGTTTTAATATTGTTTTCATATTTGTTTTATAGTTGAAACTTTATCATTATCCATCTCAATAATATTATCTTAAAAGGTTAATATATGATTTTTTTTATTAAAGTTTATTTGAAAATAAATAGTTTTTTTAACTCCTATACTTTAACTAAATTATTAGTTTGGAACCTGTATAGTTTAAATTATAGCATATAGGTCATACTGATAATTAGTATAAGTTTTTAAGAATGGTAATTAGTTTTTATTTTATATCCTCAAACACTAATCCCACATTCCTTAATATGCAAACTACTTATATTGGAGGACAATGCATTTCTAAAGAGGAAGGTAAAATTTTAAAATTGAACATGCCAAATTGATAAATATTCATTCGTATCAGTTGCTAATTGTTACTGTTAATTTAGCCTTGTCCAAAAACCAAGGTGAGGGGCAAGGCAAAGCTAAAGGAACAGGCAAAGGACGTAACTTTTTTAAAAATAAATAAGTGCAAATTTTATTTAAGATAAGAATGCATGTAAATATATAATGAATAGTTCATTGTAGATAATTAAAATAAAGAAGAAAAAGTGTTGGAAAAGAAAAGATGAAGCCGGCAGCAGCCAAAGCTGAAGTATGAAGCCTCCAAGTAGCTTTAGAATGTTTGTTTTTAGCAGCCTCGTGTGTGTTTAAACTTTAAAAATAACAAATTCATGCAATTAATTGTTCTATTTGCATGCAGTTCCTACGTATAAATTGCGAGCCAACGCTGGACTCACAACACAAACCTCATCAAAATCCCTATCCAGATAAGCAAATTTATTTAAGAAATAAGACGTCTGCAAAACAGATAATTAATAATGATAATAAAAAGGTTTTTAAAAAATAAGAATTTATTAATGTATTTTAAAGAAATTGTTGTTTTAAAAATGATTTTATCATTATCGATGTCATTAACCAACAAGCTAAGGTTCATTCCCTCGATGAATGAACATTTATTTTTCTGTCCAACCCTTTGATTAAAGGATCACACAGGTTTCTTTTGGATGATACATTACTTCATACTTTATTTATAAAATATAATCTTAAATTATCCAACTAAACACTATAATTTATACTATATTTTATTCAAATGAATTAAATAAATCAATATAACTATCTCGGTAAAATACCAAATAACCTTATTTTCTATTAAAGCTAACATTACAGTCTGTGCGCGGACCCTAAAGATTATACTTACATTCAGACAAAAAAGCGTGGTTCATAGATGAAGTCAACAAAAGTTTAAAGCAGTGAATTTAGAGAGAGAGAAATACAATAACAGAAACGGAAGCCACCAGCTGCCAATGTCCAAAGTAATAATTTAATTAGCACAGTGTTTCACTGTTGATAAATTAACTCTTTTCATCGTATTAGCAGTACGAGCAGACCACCAAATATGCATGCATTGCTCTCTTTATCCAATCATATACTTAAGAGGAGATTGGAGCAGCAGCAGCCTCGTGCTGTTAAACTTTTGCAGTCCAATCATTGATTTGCAAAACCCAAAATTCATGCACTTCTCCCATTTCTATGAAGTTCCGACGCACGTCTCTGTCTATAAATTACACCCCCAAGAATCACAACACAAACCCCACCCAGCTTCAAGCAAATTTAAACCTACTCCTCATCCTCATGGCTCACTTCCTTGTTCATGCATTTCTTTGGTTGGGTCTCGCAACCACTGCATTTTCATTGTCCCCCAAATTTTATGACAAAGTTTGTCCCCAAGCTTTGCCTGCCATCAGGAAAGTTATTGAGGCTTCTATCCACCGTGAGCGGAGAATGGGAGCCTCTTTTCTTCGTCTGCACTTCCACGACTGCTTCGTTAACGTATGTTCATTCATTTTAGAAAAGAGTTGTACATAATATTAGTTCATACAAGTATTTTCTAAGCTGCACGTACCTTGTGATCTAGAACTAATCATTATTGCATTGATTGCAGGGCTGTGACGGTTCACTTCTTCTGTATTCGACGCCTGCTTTTGTTACCGAGAAAAATGCACGTGGAAATTTGAACTCTGTGAGAGGGTTTGAAGTTGTAGATCAAATTAAGGGTGAAGTGGATAGAGTCTGTGGACGCCCTGTGGTCTCTTGTGCTGATATCTTAGCCGTAGCAGCCCGAGATTCGGTAGTTGCGGTAATATCCAAATCATTTATCAATTGAATTATAGAAAAATGCTGTGTTTGATTTGTAAATGATGAAAACTACGATGGTTGTAGCTTGGAGGCCCGACATGGAAGGTTCGTTTGGGAAGGAGAGACTCAACCACTGCCAGAATAGATTTAGCAAACACCTCGCTTCCATCGGCATCAATGGATCTCCCTGACTTGATCAACAACTTTAAGAAGCAGGGCTTGAACAAGAGAGATCTCGTAGCTCTCTCCGGTGGTCACACCATAGGATTCTCACAATGTTTTATCTTTAGGAACAGAATCTATAATGCAACCAACATTGATCCTGCTTTTACCAAAGACCGTAGAGACACATGTCCATGCACCGGAGGGAACACGAATACGCTCCTTTCGACTCAACGGCTGCTCATTTTGACACGACATACTTCAAAAACTTGGTGAAGCAAAGGGGTCTACTCACCTCGGATCTAGCACTTTTCAATGGTGGCTCCACTGATAAACTCATAAAGAGTTACAGCTTGAACCCTAATGCTTTCTGGGTTGATTTTGGAAAGTCTATGATTAGGATGGGAAACATTAAGCCTTTGACTGGAAAAGGACAGATTCGTGTCAACTATAGGAAGGTGAATTATTGAAGCTCTTAAAGTTTATTTTCACTTAATTATTGCTAAACTTGTCTTTGTTGTTAAATAAGAGATTGTTGAAAAGTCAAGATAAGTGGCCAAATTAATGGCCAAACTATTTGGTGCAAATTGTTGAAAGAAAATTGTTAGGCACCGAAAGTTTGGATTGAAAAACAATTCCACCTAAAATGTTGAAAATGTGGATGGTAAAACTATGCAATTAGTCATTGTAATTTAGGGTATTTACAAATTAGTTCTTAAAGCTTCAACTATAAATACCCTAGCTCATTTAGCTTCAAAACCATCCCAAAGCATTCTAGCTTTCTTCCAATACTAGAGAGAATTTAGAGAGTTTCTTGAGAGTTGTTTTCTCCTTTTTATCAAGTGAGAATTATCATTGTTTTCTCCTTGGTAGATTGAGAGAAGTTGTAATTCTTATTTTCTCATAGTGAAATTCTTCTACCGTTGCCCGTGGTTTTTACCCTATATTATTCAGGGGTTTTCCACGTAAATTTTGTGTCTCTTTTATCTTCATATTTATTTTCTCAAATTATCAGTTGCGATTTTACTCTATCCGATAGCCGTCTTCCGCAACAATTGGTATCAGAGCTAGATTAGAGTGTGTAATATCTACTTATTGTCTTTGTGGTTGTCACCAAAAGGTGAATCCTCCAACATAAGAAAGTAAGAAGTTATTACCCATTCTTTGAAGGTTCCAGAGAACTATTCACGATAGTGAAATAGTGGGAGCTATCCGTAAAAGAAGCTATGGCAACGAAATTTGATATTGAAAAGTTCAATGGGAGAAATTTCTCATTGTGGAAATTAAAGATGAAGGCCATCCTGAGGAAAGACGGGTGTCTAGCGGCTATCAGTGAAAGGCCGATGGATTTTACAGATGACAACAAATGGATCGAAATGGACGGAAATGCTATGGCAAACTTTCATCTAGCATTAGCAGATGAAGTATTGTCAAGCATCGAGGAGAAGAAGACAGCTAAGGAGATATGGGATCATCTCACCAAATTGTACGAGGCTACATCGCTGCACAATAAAATTTTCCTTAAGAGGAAATTGTACACTCTCCGTATGCCAGAATCTACTTCAGTGACAGAGCACTTAAATACACTGAACACCTTATTTTCTCAGCTTACATCCTTAAGCTGTAAAATAGGAGAACAAGAACGTGCTGAACTTCTACTTCAAAGTCTACCGGATTCATACGATCAACTCATCATCAACTTGACAAACAGTAATGTCACAAGTTTAGTATTCGATGATGTTGCAGCTGTTGTTCTACAAGAAGAAAATCGGCGCAAGAACAATGAAGACAGACAAGTAAATCTGCAACAAGCAGAAGCGTTGACAACGATGAGAGGGAGATCAACAGAACGTGGCCAAAGCAGCAGTCACAAACATGGTAGATCGAAGTCGAGGAGCAAGAAGAATTTAAAGTGTTACAACTGTGGAAAGAAGGGTCACTTGAAGAAGGATTGTTGGAGTCTAAATAAAAACTCCAATCCACAAGGCAATACCGCAAACACTTCAGATGATGGAGATGCTCTATGCTGTGAAGCATCAACATATCACATAACCTCAAGAAGAGAATGGTTCCATCATTATGAACCTGTCTCAGGAGGATCTGTTTATAGTTACAATGATCATGCCTTAGAGATCGTTGGCGTGGGAACCATCAAATTGAAGATGTATGACGAAACAATTAAAGTTGTTCGAGATGTGCGGCACGTGAAAAGCCTGAAGAAAAATTTATTATCCTACGGATTGTTGATCCGTAGGATAATAATGCAAACAAGATTGAAACACGGAAAGGAATCATGAAGGTGTTCCGTGGAGCGCTTGTGGTGCTGAAAGGTGAAAAGATAGCTGCAAACTTGTACATGCTGAAGGGAGAGACTTTGGTAGAAGCAGAAGCCTCTGTTGCCTCATGTAGTTCAGATTCGGCAATGCTATGGCATCAGAAACTTGGACACATGTCAGAACAAGGAATGAAAGTCCTTATGGAGCAAAAGCTACTTCCAGGCTTAACAAAGGTATCACTTCCTTTGTGTGAGCATTGCATAACAAGTAAGCAGCACCGGTTGAAATTCAACACATCAAATTCTATAGGCAAAAGTGTTCTAGAATTGGTTCACTCTGACGTATGGCAAGCACCAGTTACATCCCTAGGCGGAGCAAAATACTTTGTCTCATTTATTGATGACTACTCCAGAAGATGTTGGGTGTACCCTATTAAGAAGAAGTCAGATGTGTTTTCCACTTTCAAAAACTTCAAAGCGCGGGTGGAACTTGATTCTGGAAATAAGATCAAGTGTTTCAGAACAGATAATGGAGGAGAATACACAAGCGAAGAATTTGATGACTTTTGTAGGAAAGAAGGCATCAAAAGACAGTTCACAGTAGCGAACACTCCTCAACAAAATGGAGTGGCAGAGCGGATGAACAGAACCTTGTTAGAAAGAACAAGAGCAATGTTAAGGGATGCAGGCCTAGAAAAATCATTCTGGGCAGAAGCAGTCAATACGCTTGTTATTTGGTGAATCGAGCTCCATCAACTGCAATAGAGCTGAAGACACCAATGGAGATGTGGACTGGTAAACCAACTGATTATTCAAACCTCTATGTATTTGGAAGTATTGTGTACGTGATGTACAACCCCCAAGAAATTTCAAAGCTGGATCCAAAATCCAGGAAATGCAAATTCTTGGGGTATGTTGATGGTGTAAAGGGGTATTAGCAGGGATGTTATCTTTGTAGAAGATAAGTTACAAAGAAAAGAAGATGATGATAGCGCTGAAAAGTCAGAGACTACACAGATACATGTGGAAAATGAGGTTGAACAAGGAGATTCTTCTGAAGTAGAACTAGCACATGATGAACAAGAACCAGGGAGTTCTGAAACTCCAACAACTCGTCAATCAGATCGTGTGAGAAGACGTCCCAATTGGCACTCAGATTATGTTATAGAAGGTAATATTGCATACTGCCTTTTAACAGAGGACGGTGAGCCATAAACATACCAGGAGGCAATAAATAACTCAGATGCTTCACTGTGGATGATGGCGATGCAAGAAGAAATCGAAGCCCTTCATAAAAATAATACATGAGACCTTGTACCACTACCACAAGGAAGGAAGCCAATTGGTAACAAATGGGTCTTCAAAATCAAGCGAAATGTTGACGATCAAGTGGAGAGGAATCGTGCAAGATTGGTGGTCAAAGGATATGCTCAGAAAGAAGGTATTGATTTCAATGAAATATTTTCTCCTGTGGTTCGACTAACAATAGTTCTAGTAGTTTTGGCAATGTGTGCTACATTGAACTTACATCTAGAGCAGCTAGATGTTAAAACAACTTTTCTTCATAGAAATCTTGAAGAAGAAATTTATATGCTCCAGCCTGAAGGTTTTGAAGAAAAAGAAAAGAAGAATTTGGTTTGCATGTTGAACAAATCTCTGTACGGTCTAAAGCAGGCGCCGAGGTGTTGGTATAAGAGATTTGATTCCTTCATTATGTGCCTTGGATACAACAGACTTAATGCAGACCCTTGTGCTTATTTTAAGAGGTCTGGTGATAACGATTTTGTTATATTGTTGTTGTATGTGGATGACATGTTGGTTGCAGGACCCAACAAAGATCATATTGAAGAATTGAAGGCACAACTGGCTAGGGAATTCGAAATGAAGGACTTGGGATCAACAAACAAGATTCTAGGGATGCAAATTCACCGAGACAGAAGTAATAGGAAGATTTGGCTTTCACAAAAGAATTACTTGAAGAAGATCCTGTCACGATTCAGCATGCAAGATTGTAAGCTAATTTCTACCCCTCTTCCTATTAACTTCAAATTATCCTCCAGTATGAGTCCTACCAGTGAAGAAGAGAGGATGGAGATGTCTCGAGTACCGTATGCATCAGCAGTGGGAAGTTTAATGTTCGCTATGATATGCACAAGACCAGACATTGCACAAGCAGTGGGAATGGTTAGTTGGTACATGGAAAATCCAGGCAAAGAGCATTGGAATACAGTAAAGAGGATCCTGAGATACATCAAAGGGACTTCAAATGTTGCATTATGTTACGGAGGATCAAACTTACTAATCAATGGGTATGTAGATTCTGACTTTGCAGGCGATTTGGATAAAAGCAAATCTACTACAGGATATGTGTTTAAAGTTGCTGGTGGAGCTGTAAGCTGGATTTCAAAATTGCAGTCAGTTGTGGCTACATCCACAACAGAAGCAGAATATGTAGCAGCTGCACAAGCCAGTAAAGAAGCAATTTGGTTGAAGATGCTATTGGAGGAGCTTGGGCACAATCAAGAGTATGTCTCTCTATTTTGTGACAGTAAAAGTGCCTTGCATCTAGCAAGGAATCCAACATTTCATTCAAGGACAAAGCACATACGAGTTCAATACCATTTCATTCGTGAAAAGGTGGAAGAAGGGACGGTAGATATGCAGAAGATCCATACCAAAGACAACATAGCAGATTTCATGACTAAGGCGATCAGTACTCATAAATTTACTTGGTGTCGATCCTCTTGTGGCCTGTCAGAGATGTAAGCAACATGAAGGTACAAGGTAGAAAGAATGGTGTGAAGATATGATTGTTCCAATAAAATCTTCAAGTGGGAGATTGTTGAAAAGCCAAATTAATGGCCAAACTATTTGGTGCAAATTATTGAAAAAAAATTGTTAGGCACCGAAAGTTTGGATTGAAAAACAATTCCACCTAAAATGTTGAAAATATGGTTGGTAAAACTATGCAATTAGTCATTGTAATTTAGGGTATTTACAAATTAGTCCTTAAAGCTTCAACTATAAATACCCTAGCTCATTTAGCTTCAAAACCATCCCAAAGCATTCTAGCTTTCTTCCAATACTAGAGAGAATTTAGAGAGTTTCTTGAGAGTTGTTTTCTCATTTTTATCAAGTGAGAATTATCATTGTTTTCTCCTTGGTAGATTGAGAGAAGTTGTAATTCTTATTTTC